GTTCTCTCCTGCAGGCTCCAGCAGTTCTGGTAGTTGGGGTACAAGACTTCAGAGCTTGCTTCATCAGTGTGGATGACGATGGGTCCTGGAAGGAAGGTGAGAGCACAGGCAGGAAGAGGCTTCAGCTTGTCCCTCCCAGCATCCCCACCCCCTCCTTCTCTTGTCTGCTTTAGGAGACAGATCATCAAGGTCACTGCTTCAGGACAGTAACTGCCTTGAACATGCCCTGGCCTTGCCAACAGCAGCTCTTCTATGGGCTGAGAAATGGAGAAAGCAAGGAGCAGCCTTGTTCTGTCTGGCACAACCCCTCCTATTGGGCCACATATGACTAGAGCAGGTACAGACCTGGATCAGACTTGGGCATTCTAACAAAGAATGAGCTGTCCCGGACTCCATCAGAACTAGGTGACTTTCTTGCCTCTTAAAGTCCAATCCTATAGACCAATATAGTGACTCAGCGCATGACAATCTAAGGAAAGCCACCACAAGGCCACAAATCCTGTCAGACCCCACAGCCTTGCCTAAAAGGAAAGCCAGGTTTCCAGATGAACTGCTAAGAACCACACGTTAGACCACAAATAATGTTTCTTATTATACAGTTGACCCTTGAACAACCCGGAGGTTAAGGTCACCAATCCCCCCATGCAGTCAAAGATCCATGTATAATTTTTGATTCCCCCAAAACTTAACTACTGATAGCCTACTGTTGACTGGAAGCCTTACCAATAACATAAATAGTTGACTAACCCATCTTTTGTATGTTATATGTATTACATACTGTATTCTTACAACCAAGTGAGCTAGAGAAAAGAAAATATTAAGAATAAGAGAAAATATACTTTTATAGTTCTGTACTGTACTTACAAAAAAAAAAAACAATTTATGTGTAAGTGGACCCATGCAGTTCAAACCCATGTTCAAAGGTCAACTGTATACCTCGCAGGAGCCCGCTACTACTCAGAGCTCACAAGTACCTTTATCCCCTCCCATCAATACCCAGAGAAGGTGCTCTAACACCTTCCAAGGCTTTGCTCTGTGCCAGAGATGGCAAGGGCCTGTGGCAGCTTCCTTTGCTACACAACTCAAGACCGACCTTCTCTAAATGGCAAAGAGACAGCTGCTGTCAGCAGCTCTCCGGAATTCACTCCGATCAATACAGGGTGATTAGGTGAATCTAAGCCCCAAAGAGCTATTATTCCCAAACAAAAATGTGACAGTCAAAATTCTAGTAGCATATGGTAACTTTACTAGAATATCAAAATTCAGACACACTTTGTCAGGCAAATGACCAGAGGCCCTCTCCAGACAGATGTGTCCTCTGAGCGGCAGAGTGTAAAGATGAAGAGTATTGGATTCTGAAGCCAGACTGCCATACTTTGAATCCCTATTCCACCATTTACCAGCTGTGTGTTCCTGGGAAAGTCATTTAGCCTCTCTGTGCCTGAATTCTCTTATCTGTAAATTGGGGATACTATTGCCTACGGCCCCGGATTATTACAAGAACTAAACAAGTTAGTAGATACAAAGCTACTAAAAAAGCTTTGGGACATGGTCAAATTCGAGTCCCAGGGCGTGTGGGTCCAGTGGCTTGTGGTGACACCACTTCCCTCTCTGTTGGGAATATGGGGCAGTGTCAGTCCGAGACCTGCCTGTAGGTCAGCCTGCTTTCAAGAAACAGCTTTCCTACTTTTGGTGTTTCAGAGGAAAGGGTATTTATTTGCCTCTTAGAAGCTGGGCAAGTGAAGAGCTCTCAGAAGGCCAGGCACTGTGGACTCTTCCAAAGCTCAGGGGCTCCTAAGGGGCAGCCCCTCTGTTTGCTCTATGTTACTCAGACACACCCTGCTTGTGCTCAGCAGCCAATTTCAGCCGGAATTAGCAGCTGTATCCAACCCCGACTAGGGTAAGGCTGGCCTCTTCTGGCCTGGAGGTTTCTATTCTTTTACATAGTTGTTGTTTGTTTGTTTGTTTGTTTGTTTGTTTGTTTTTTAATAAGCCTGATGGCAATTTTATATCTATTTGAGATACTACAAAAGAAGCTAAGCAAGAACCTTTGCTTTATAGCACCATTTTAGTATTTCAATATTGGTGAGGTCGTGAGGATATGAAACTCAGACTGGCAATTACATGTAAATTTCAGTCAAGTATAAATGGCAAAATGAAGGTCCCTCTGACAGTCAAAGGCCCTCAATACATAAGATCCATGAGGGAAAATAACACATGTGGTCCTTGGTGGTGAAAAGGCTGGGCACCACTAGCTGCAATCACTCACCGGTTGAACATGTTAAAACCCAAACTCAATAGACTTTCTCAGTGAGGAAAGGCTGAACAGAATACTGTTAATACCATCTGAGTCAGGCTGTGGGTTAACACCAAGACCAAGCCAATGGCAGCAGGCTTGGGTCTCGCCTAAGTGTTCCTCCTGTCTTCCCTCCTTTTCAGCGGTGTCTTACCTAAGCAAAAAGCCCCAGTATTATTCACAAGACCTGGCTGGGGATGCCTTAAGCAGCCTGTGTAGAAGCTTAAGAGGAGAAGTCAGGGGCCAGAGGCACATCAGAGTGGCTGACACATCACCGTGGAGGTGGAGGTCAGGCCGGCAAGGCCAGCAGGAGGCCAGACAAGCGAGGGCCCACCAGAGTAGGCATGCCATGGAAGCCATGTGTGCAGGAGAAGAGAAACCGAAGGAACACGCACTAAGAAAGAGAGGCGGGAGGGCTTTGGAAGGAAGAAGAAAAAGCTCCTCAGGGACAGGGCAGACTTCTAGACTCCAAACTCAAACCTTCTTTCTGACTTTGGAAAAGCCCAGCCAGCAAACATCGGGTAGACTCCAGATTCCGATATATATTAGTGGAACGAACACTGGAAAAAAACAAAAAGGTAGAGACACTCAAAAAAGGAAGATTTGATTCTATACACTGTCTCATCCTACAGAGCAACTGGGAGGCTTTAAGATCACATGAGGGGGGCTATGGGACTGGGAGGAATCCTTTCTCTGCGGGATGGGTGCCCCAAGGGACCCAAAAGCCAATGAACGTGATCTCCACTGACCACATGTTCACAGGATGCTGTTATATAAGGGGAACTGCCCCAAACTACCTTGGGTGAGAATGGGCACCATCCTGGGGGGTCAGTACAGGTTTCCTCATGTGTAAGATCTTAAAATGGAAGCCACGTCCCTTTTACGAGTGACTCACAAGACCTCCAGTGGATTGAAGGTTGGTGAAAGAAAGGGGATGTCCTCCACATAGCTCTTCCTCAGCCTCTGTCCTAGGGCAAACATCTGCTGCATGCCCACATTAGTCAGCTGTCCAGCAAACATGCCTCCCTGGTGCGGGGCAGAAAGAGAAGCATGAAAATACCTCCCCGTCTGCTAAACTCAGCCCAGAGAAAACCATGGAAACTTTACAGGGGGCTTCCCAGGGCAGGGAGGCAATGCTCACCTTGAGTACGGTCTTACGGTACTGAGAGTCGAAAGGAGAATGTGGTTTCAGGCCACCAGCTAGATTGGTGACAGTGTAATCAAACTGAGTTTGGGGTGGGACCTCTAATAGCTGGAGATTCCACTCTGCCTGTTATGACCACAAAAAAACACAACACATTGTTTAGGAGGTTCTTGAAACTTACAGCATTAACATCCAGCAGCACCTGAAAGACATAGCTGGGATCACAGACACTAAACTCACAACCTTCCCATGGGAAGGAAAGAAAGAAGCTTTAACTCCAGCTCCAATTAAAGGAAGGAAAGACAGTAATTTATTATTCCGGGTACCCTCAGCCCAAGCCCTGTTACTGCTCCACTAGCACTGGCTATTAAGACGCTGCTCTGGCACTAAGCCCAGACTGCAGTAAAGGGGAGAAGTCACCAGAAGGCCTGGCATGCAAATACTTGGTGAATGAATGAATGAACAAATGAATGAATGAAAATAATATGACCTCAGTGAGCAGACACTCGTAAGATTTTTCCAGGAGTCAACCTCCAGGTTTCTATGCCTCCCCTGCCCTTAAGGATACATGATGTCCTAATTATGGTATCCTTAAGGATACCTAGTGTCCCTTTGCCTTCCTTTCATCGAGTTTCTCAAACAAGGGGCTGCCCCTTCTTCACCTCTTCACCATCTTCCTTTTCTCCTTACAGTCTGGCTCCTGCTCCGCTCTACTGTCATGGTTTCAAAACATCCCCAGTAGCCACAGGTCTCAGAGCTCCAACTGCCCATGAAACTCTTACACTCGCTGAGTCAGATGTGATGACTCCAATTTTAAAAACGAAAATCTTTTCTTCTTCCCATATGCCAGCTCCTCTCCCGAACACATTACGTTGCTCGCAATGATGCCACAGGTCTCCTAGGCCCCAAAACTCAAACCTCTGACTCTCCCCCACTACTCCACCAGCCGCACTAAACTCTATGGATCACTGGCTAGGAAAAAAGTCATTCCCGAAGGTCCTCCTTTTATCTGGTAAGAGTGTAAAACCTTACTACCTCAGGCAAAAGCGTGTGACTGGCTCCCTTCCCTCCACCCCCACAATCCATACATAGATACAATTCCCTGCCCCCCATTAATCTTGCTAAGCCACTTTCATCATGTCAATAGTTGTTTCCTAATGTTTCAAGAGATAGGCACCTGGCATTCCAGGACTCCTACACCTCGGCCGAGCCCCTGTCCCCTGCTATAGTGTCACTGTGCCTCTCTCCTCCCGTCCCCAGATCAGACCATGCCCACTGCTTCCTCTGCATCTTCTTTCAACTTGCTTCCTGTGCTCGGAGGGACTCCTGCCCATCCAGCTTCTCTTCAAGGTCCAATGATAGCTCAAGTCTTACTTCCCTTCAGTGACTACTCTAGCTTTTAGTGCTTGTCTTCTTAAAAGTACGAGGAACGGTGTTGTAGAAAACAACGTTGTGTGGCTAGAGCGTAAGTGTGGAGGGCTGGGAAGAAATGGTGAAGAGAGAGCAGGAGACCTGTAGCACTTAAAATCACAAGATCATTTAACTCAATTTCCCACTATGCGATTTCCTATTCCTTTTAAAACTAACATTTGAAAACTTACTATGTCTTGTAGCACTGTATCTATCTTGGCCCCTCCCAGAAATAGCCCAGGGGAGCACCACTGGGGGGGGGGGGGAACCCCAGGTTCCATTCACACAAAGGAAACCCTCCATCTTTCAAAGGACATTGTCTTAGTCCCACCTGCAGCCAGTCCTCCAGACCTGGGCCTCTTCCCCCACTGGAGCTGCAGCAACTGACATCAGAAGACTGGGTGTTCAGAGCACAGACCTTCTTCTTACTGTCCTGTAACTATGGCTCCTCCTTCCAAAGTTTTGATCCTGTAACTTGCCTGCATAAAACCCTTCCGGGGCTCACAGCTGCATGATGGCCCCCGCCTCTCCTTCTCTCTCTTCACCATTTCTTCCCTGCCCTCCACACTTACTCTCTAGCCACACAACGTTGTTTTCTACAGCACCGTCCTCGAACTTCCTAGCTTTTCAACCTCATGTTCCTTCTACCTGGAATTTTCTTTTCCCTTTCATCTGAAAAGATTTCTGCTTATTCCGCAAGACAGCTTAAACATTCCCAGGAGCTGTGACAATGGCCCCATGGTCTCAAAGTAGCCTCGGTGGCTCTTTTTGGTGGCCTTTACCAAACCGTATTAGAAGAGCTCCCTTACTAGTCTGTCCTGCTCAGCAGTCCTGCTCGGAGAAGAGAGATTGGGTCGTCGATTTACCCTTGCATTTTGGAAGCCCAGCAAAGGGCCCGTACACAGATGATCTGCCATACCTTGTGGAAGAAACCAAGACTGAGATAGCATGATCCTGCCTTTTCTAGGTTTTCGGGTTAGCAGAGATCGCAAGCTAGATGGTGCTGACGGCAGCACCAAAAACAGAAACTGTGTGCCACAAGAAACCACATGAGGGTCACAGTAGTTCAAAGGAGAGACAGACCTCTTCTGGCTGGGGATTCAAGAAAAGTTTCATGAAGGGATGGCCTTTGAAGTGAAGACGATTTGGAAAAGCAAAGACCTGGACTTGAGAGTAAAAGGTGGGTAAGGAGAGACTGGTATTCAGAATTCCAAGAATAGGAAGAAGCTTGAGCGAAGCAGAGATGGCCAAGAATGCCATGTAGGAAAGAAGTGGTTTGATTTGCTTCAACCTGGGACGAGTTTTGAAACTTTTTTTTTTTTTTAAATAACAGCCCAGTTTGTTGTTGTTAAGTTTATTTATTTATTTTGAGACAGAAAGAGAAAGAGAGAGTGAGGGAAGGGCAGAGAGAGAGAGAGAGAGAGAGAGAGAGAGAGAGAGATGGACAGAGAATCCCAAGCAGGCTCCACGCTGTCTGTGCAGGGCCCGATGCAGAACTCAAACTCCTGAAATGCGACATCATGACCTGAGTCGAAATCAAGAGTCAGATGGTCAGCTCACTGGGCCACCCATGCGCCCCACAAAATTTTTAATTAGCAAATACCAAGTAGAGTTTAACTTTAGATTTCCACATACAAAGGCAAAAACTGGAGTTCCTCTAGTTGAAGCAGGAGTGGGAACACAGAGCCCTAGCCCCTCAGACCCTCTGACGCCACAGGCTCCAGGGAATAGCTTGACAACCAGCAGCATAGATCATAACTAGAATGGGAAGTCTAGATGCAGAAGCCAACTAGAGGAGGGCCTAAGGCCCCATCTAAGGCAGTAGGAATAGAAGGGGTGGATGCTAGAGACTCGAGTCAAACCTGGCAAGTGAGTGGATAAAAGCTTTATGTGGGGGCTATGTTGGTAGGTAAATAAGGAAGGTTGAAGAAAGAAATTGCGTTGGTTTTGAGCCTGGGTTCCTAAGGCGACAAGGGTAATAGAGGTCCTCCTCGACTAAAACTAAGGCCAACGCAGAAGAACAGACAAACTGAGTTCGGTTTTAAGTCTGAGGTACCTCCTTTGCGTTCCCAGGGCTCCCAGCATAGGAATCTCTTTTCTTTCTCCTTTAGCACATCTTAAAATTCTTTTACAGCCGAGGCTGAATTATCCATCCTGGTAAGGCCATTGTCTAGCACAGGCTCCGATACCAAGTCCACAGGGTCTATTCAGCCTCACTTAAGAAATCTCCTCTTATTAGCAACATTCACCAACAGAGGATCTTTGGTGTTTCCCAAGAGATGACTCCTGGCAGTCCAGTTCATGCCAAATCTACAACGCACGTTTTCAAATTTTTAAGACTACACGATACACTAGTTCCGTACATGGCGTCTAACCGCGGCGGCCCCCCCCCCCCCCACCACACACACTCTCATTCTTGTTCCTGCTCTTCAGCTTCCGAGTTCATGGCAAAGACTAACTTTAAAATCTTACTTATTTATGCCCCATTTTTAAGAACTTAAAGGAGAGGATAACAAGACCTAAAACAGAGTAAGACAACCCATTCAAAGTAGGCAAGAAAGACAAAAGCAAACAAGTATGGGGACAAAAACTGGATACGGAAATAAAGTTTCTCAAAAAGGTACACTCTAAAGACCCACGGATTTCACTGTAGGTGGGCCAAAGATTCAGCGCTAAGCTTTCTGGCTTTTATGAAGGGAGAAACTCGATCAGCTAGACAAGCTTAAAGATAAAAGCAAGCCAACTGTTCAGGAGAAGCACACCACTTCTAACGCGAACAGACAAATTCCTCCCAAGGGTCCTCATAAAGAGGATAGAGTAATATAATGAACATCTTTTCACTAGTCACAGCAACGAGTTCTGTGGGATTGTTTCTCATAGTTTTCTCAACACAGAATGATGGCATCTCACCAAAGCACATTTCTGTGAAGACAGTACTATACCAGGATTGATATGCTACATTCCAGAGGTAAAAGACAAAATCTACATAAAAGTAAACAAAACCCTTCCAGGTGTGGATTTTAGAATAAAGCGGTGGTTTGAAACCTTGGCTGCACACTGGCATCACAAACAAAACAAAACAAAACAAAACAGCCCCATCCTGAGCTCATCACATCTGGATCTCCTGGGATGGGGCCTCAACTTTGTTAATGCTATCCAGTCCAGATAATTCTAAAGCTCCACCAGAGAAAATGTTGCCATGTCTGGATGCTCTGGGCCAGTTAAATCAGAATCTCCAGAAGGGACACCCAGGCATCAATATTTTTGAAAGCTCCCCATCGGAGTCCAAAGTCTTTCCAAGAACAAGCAGTCATGAACACTGCTCCAGAGGAATGAATGGGGCTATGGGCACATCCTTCATGCCACGCTTCCTGAATAGTGAGTGCTTCTCTTAGCTGAGCTCTGGGTAAGTACTGAGTAACAATTAGACTAACAGTACGCCTTCCAGCTGGCCTACATTACCAAATAAATAGGAACCCAAATGCCTTAATCAACAGTGGAACTGAGATAAGCTAGACTTTACTTTATAAAAACTGGAGGAACCTGCCTGAGTTGGAGGCCATCTTGCCTAGAGGTGAACTAAGGGAAATCTGAAAGCAGGGCCACACTTATCTTGTGAATATGTACTTGAGTCGAATCTCATGATCAGAAAAAAATAGCCAACCAAGTTCCAGAGCTTATATTCCCAAGCACAGCTAAAGGAAGACAAATTAAGTCAACAGCCATTCAAGCCAAATGAAAACAACTCAATAACACACCTCGTTTTAAACAATGCTGCTCTCTGAAGATTTCTGAGATAACTGAATGAAGTGACTTGTCACTTGTATTCATCCATTAACCAGTCACAAGCCTGGAAACATCTACCAAAGGCAATTTTCGTTTTAGAATTGCTACCAGGTGGTCCCTTCTGACTACAGTTAGTAACAGAACCAGGAAGATTAGAAAATCCCAATAACAACCGTTATCAAACTGGACCTTGAAAAGAAAACCTGAGAGAAATCATCCAGAAACAAGTTACAGGGAGCCAAAGACACAGGCTCACAGCCTAAATGGAAAGAGGTTTGGTCCCACCCCTGGCATTTGTGCTAATCGAAGATGTTTAATGCATTGGCCTGATGTCTAGAGAATGTGAGCAGGCAGGAGGTGACGTGCCTTCCCTAACTGCAAAGGGAGGCCATGGACTCAGATGCTTCTTACTTTGTGGCTACACAGACGAAGAGAATGAAGCTGGCATTCTACCTGAGCTACAAACTGCGCCTTCCAACAGAATGGCAGAAGGTAGCCATCACACCCCCGCTAGCTCAGGAAGAAGTCCTAAAAGAATCTAAATCTTTCTCAGGCCTTAAGGGAGTATATATCCGGTATATATTAGGCCCAAGCCTGGACACTCAGACTTTAATTCTCTGCTACCACTGATAGCTTTGTCTTTAACGTGATGAGTCTTCTATCCCTATGTTACTTTCCAGCCTTTCTGTAACAAGAATAAACGAAGAAGGGGGGAGTGCACATGAGATGGGCGATGTGCAAAAGTCACAAGGAAGATTTAGTAAAAATAAAAAAAGGGAGAGTAAGGGACTGAAAAAGCATCAAAAAGAAAGGAAGGAACGGTGGGGGTGGGGGTGGGCGGGGGAGGAGGGAAGATGAGAAAAAAGAAATTCCAATACCAGATGGAAAGTGGTACAGCCATTCAGAAAGGCTAACTAGAAATCTGGTAGCAGAATTAAGTGCCTGCCAAAATTTGTTTATTCATGTGGGAGGTGCTTTAAAGGTTGGAGTTCATGTGTGGCCAGCTTTAAAAACCAGATTTTTAGTTGGACACTGTGAGGACACAACCCTAAGGGTTTCTGGAAAGCAACGATGATCATGAAGAGAATGCCAAATATGAGGTTTAGACATCTATTGAACTTGCTCCAACATCAGCCTGGAGGACCAATTAATGCAAAAGCACTCCACAGGTAAGTGTGACAGCTGGGGGGCCTGAGGATTTCAGGCTGCCTCTTTATCTTCGCTGGGAAGCCAGTTCTTCAATTACAGGCCTGCTTGCACCAAAGGCCAGAGACCTCAACTGCCTCTCTCCAAAAATCAAATCCAGGAAGGTTAATCATTAAAAAGCAAACAAACAAAAAAAAGAAACAAAAACAAAAAACACCTAGAGGCTCCTGGGTGGGTCAGTCAATTGAGCTCAGGCTCTTGATATTGGCTCAGGTCATGGTCTCCCAATTTGTGAGTTGCAGCCTCCTGTGGGGCTCTGCGGCTGACAGTGCAGAGCCTGCTTGGGATGCTCTCTCCCTTTCTCCCTCTCCTGCTTACTCTCTCTCTCTCTCTCTCTCTCTCTCTCTCAAAATAAATAAACAAACATTTAAAAATAAATAAATAAATAAATAGAAACTATTTGTGCTTTAGTCATAATTACCCTGGCCAAACCTGGCAGATTTTAAGACATTATAAACACAGGACTAGCCAATTAAAAATGTTTTCCTACCTCAAATCCCTTCCACGATAGTTTTAGAAACCCAAAATAGAAAATAAGACCCAAGATACAGCACTTATTTAAAAAAAAAAAAAAAAAAAAGCCTTCAAGGATCTCAAATGATCTCCAGCAAACTGAAAGCCGCTGTGATACCTGTTTCCAAAGATGTTGACCTCTGCTACCCGCTGTAATCCCAGTTATGGGGGTTCCTGCAACTCTTGACAACCTTCAAACAGTCACACAGAAATGCACTACACTTTCATTCTCAAGTTGACCCAAGTACCTGTTAGAAATGCAGCATCTCAGGCTCTACCCCACACACCTGCTGGATTCGAATCTTCATTTGAACAAGATCCCTAGGAGATTTCTAAGCCCTCCAAGCAGCGCAGTGCTACCAACTGTGCTACACCACTGCCATCAATCAGGGGTTACAACTAGAAGTCCCCGGGGTGCCCAACATCCGGGGTGCCCAACATCCGGAGGGTACGAGGAGGATGGGCGGCTAGCAGTGCCAGGCCAGCCCCTCTGCTCAAGGTACTGCAGTTTTCATCTGGTCTGGATCCAGCCGGAATCCCGCTCGATGAGGGTAAAACTCCCAAGGTGTGTGTTTCGGGGCCAGGCGCCCGGTCCGCCTGCGGTCGACCGCCCCGGTCCTTGCCCCACCAGTACCGGCCCCGGCCGACCTCTCACCTGCTCCCGCGGGAGCGGCTTGAGAGGACTCCGCGCCCCGTGTCGGAACACGACCTGCACCATTTTCAACTCCAGCAGACTCCGGTCGACAGGACGCTGGCTAGGCGCCCCCGGGGTCTCGGCCCGGGCCACCCGCCGCTGGTGGACGCAATACGCCAGCGAAGTCAAGACGCCCACCGGGGCCCACACGCGCACGCTGAAGACACGGGTGATCATGGTGGACGCCCCTGCGGGGTGAGGCTGCACGGGGCGGATACGAACTTTCCGCCCGCGCCGCGGCTCAGCGGCCGCTTCCAGATTCCCGGGAATCCGCGGGGGCGCACATCCAGCCCCCAGCCAAGCTGCGGCGACCGCGGCGACTCGCGGCCCTGGTGGGGGGAACCCCAAGTGGGAGCGTGGCGGGAGAAGCGGAGGTGGGAACAGCGAAGACTCCCCGGGAGTTTTAACTCGGGTAGGGGTTGGCCACTCCCGCAGCAGACACCGGGGGGGGGGGGGGGGGAAGGTCGGCTCCTTATCTTTCGCCCTCTAGGAAACCTTAAAATTGTAATCCCAGTTTGGCCTCCGGGGCTCCGAAGGGACGGGAACCAGCCCTGAGATCGTCGGCGGCTGAGACTCCACGAACACAGGTGACCGGATTCCACTTTTCGGTCAGCAAGCTCGCACACTACCACTGCAACAACTCAGGGACCAGTCCCAAGTGGATCCGCGCCGAGGAGCACGGGAAAACGAGTCCCGCGGTGACGCCTCTTTGGAGGCTCTGGGTTGTGAGAACTACAACTCCCACAAGGCTGCGCGCGGCGGGCTCATTGCTGGGAGGTAATTTCTTGCCCCAGACTTTGCATCTCGCTCCCCAGCAGCTGAGGGTCCAAGTCTCCGGGACTGGGTGGTCAATGTAGTTGGTAGGAATGAATCCGCGACTTTGCCTGGCCGATAAGGTAGGAAAAGAGAAGACTGGGGTAGAACTGGGTGATAGAGGGGAGTAATTTTGTGTCTAAGGCGTGTAGGACCCTTCCGTCCTGGAAGCTGGGGTCTGTGAGGCTAAGAGTCCAGACACCAATTTACTGAGTGATCACCTCTTGCGAAGGATGGCACTAGGCGTTTTATATTTAATCTTCACTTACCAAGATTAAAGATTAAACGGCCCCTTCTGAATTCAAAGAGGCCCAAGTTGTCGCATACACGTAGAACTTTAAGCTCACTTATATCCATATTTCTTGTGGAAAAATCCAGGGCCTGCCTGTGAGTGTCCCAGTGACTAAACACCTTAATTTACAAAGGACAGTGTGACCTGTAAGCACCTGTTGGTCTGGTTTCTCTTGCATATGGGACTGCCTCAAGCCTGGGTTCTAAATCTTGACAACAGAACATAATGGAACCAGCTGTGTCTGAAGGCAAAGGTCAAGTTGAGAGGAGAGACCTGTGTGAGAAGACTCTGAATATAGGCCATCTAACCAGTTCCTAAATCCTTCTGATTTTTAGTCCTGGATCAAACTGGGCCAAATCTGAAGACAACATACTTACGGAGTATGACTTCTGACCTGGATCTAAGCTTGTTGAGCAAGCTGCAAGGTTATGAATACGCTACTATGGGGGAAGGGTGATTTTGGAACGGGCTCATTGTCACAGTTTTCCCCCTGGCCTCACCCCTGCCTGGTTGGACTCTCTTCAAAGTCTTATTGTGCATCCTGATGTGAGTACAAACTGAAAGCTGTTTTTTCTATAGGCCCGGGAGTGCCAGACAACACTGCTTTGGAAACTATAATCCCTGTAGTTAGAGATATCTGTTCTCCACAGCATGGCAAAACATGGTACAACTCTTGTGCGGAAGGACCCTGATAATTTGAACAGCTTCGGCAGCTTCAGTACATCAGGGTAAGCTTTAAGATGATGTAACGTTGGCATCTGGGAACCAGTACCTTCGGCCACAATGGACAGGCCACCCTAGCCCACACCCTCCACTCTGGCAGCCTCAGCACAAGTTTGTCAAGCATCAGGAGCAGCACCTTCGACCTATATAAGCAAGAGCAGCGGGACACACACATTGGCCGGGACACACGTGTGGTTGGGGTGACTGCACTGGGGATATCTTAGCAGTGGATCTCCGCAGGAAGCCAGAGCAGGTTAGGTTGGAAAATGACAGATTCTGTGTGGTGGCTGAGAGCACTGTTTGTCAGCACATATGCGACAACTCTTGGGGAGTCCTATAAATATTGAGTACGTGATGCATGGTGGTGCTGGTACTGCTGGTAAGTGCCATTTGTTTGTTTGTTTATAATTTTTTTTTTTTTTAAGTGAGCTGCGGTTTAAAGGAAAGGCTAGACATCGTGAAGTCATGCCCTAGGGTCTGGGGATGGCCCCGGGGGGAGAGGGGAGGAGGTGGACGAACTGAACTGCTGTTGTTGTGACCCCAGTTTTACCATCAGGCAGGGATGGCTTGGGAAACCCACCAAATTGTGTGCAGACAGTGGCATTTAACATGATGCCCAAATTGGTTTTCATCATGAGATTAGATAAGAAATAACCACATTCACTTGTTTTATGTGCAACGGTGAGCACAGAGTCTGGTTCATAGTAAGTACTCCAAAAATACTTGCCGAGTGAAATTATAGGATCTATCACAGGGATGCTGTTGAGAACATTGTCCATTTCATCGCATTTTGCTCCCTATATAAATCTCCTCCTGAGAAATTTCTTTTAGAGTAACGTGTTAGCCTTAGAACGAGGATTACAAACTATGAAGATTACTTTTCCTTCATTTTTACTGGGTTGACAGGAAACTTGGAGCCTACTTCTAAACTTAACTACAGCAAATATTTGGTCAGTATAACTGTGGCCTTTTCTTCCAGGGTATCACCCTGGATGGGAAGGGAGCAAGATTGGGGAAAGGCTGTTCCGAGTGTGAAACATTTAGGAGGGAGTTAACGGGAGAGAGAGGGAGGAAGGAGTCAAGGATCACTGGTAAATTCCTGACTTGGGCAGCTCCACGAGAATGCCTTTTTACCTGGAAGGGGGTTGAGCGGAAGTTGCCAAGGTAATTTTGAATATATCTGATGTGAGGTACCCGTGAGGCATCTAAGTAGAAATGCCTTCTAGATAATTGGTTGTGTGCGTCTGGAGCTCAGATGGGAATGTATACATGAGGTTCTTCTGCACCTAGTTATTAGCTGAAACAATAGGCTTGGGTAAGATTCATGGGGCGAGTGGATAGAGTGAGGCAAGCAAAAAAAAGGGGGCTAGGACAGGACTCTAGGAGCCGGCCGTTTAAGGGAAGGGCAGAGGGAGAGAAGCCTGAGAAGGAAAGTGGGAAGGAGCAGCACAGAGATAAGGAAGCCAAGGTTCCAAGAAGGGAATGGACGACAGTGTCAAATAGAACTGAAAGGTCCGATAACGTGCAGACTGAGTGTCCACTGGATTTAACGACAAAGGAATTTGGGGTCATTTTAGTGAGAGAAGTTGCAGGAAAATAGCAGGGTGGGAATTAAACAGAAGTGGGCAGCAAGTGGGCAGTAAGTGTAGACATCTTGAAGAAGTTTAGCCGACAAGAGGAGGTGAATGAGTACAGTCGCTGGAGGTGTTTGGTTCATGAAGTTAAGGGAGAATCGTCTTGAAGATGGGAGATGTTTGCACAGTTGACCCTTGAACAACACAGGTGTGAGCAGGGCGTGTACGCTTACACATGGATGTTTTTTCAGTAATTACAGTACATACTGTAAGTGTGTTTTCTCTCCCTTATGATTTTTTTAATGTTTATTTATTTATTTGGAGAGAGACAAAAGTGCATGCATGTGGGGGAGGGGCAGAGAGAGAGGGAGACAAAGGATCCCAAGTGGGCTCAGAGCTTACAGCAGAGAGCCCCATATGGGGCTCCAACTCACGAACTGTGAGATCATGACCTGAGCTGAAGTCGCCTGCTTAACCAACTGAGCCACCCAGGCGCCCCTCTCCTATATGTTTTTCTTAATAACATTTTCTTTTTACTAGTTTGCTTGATTGTAAGCCTACGGTACCTAATACACATAACGTACAAACTGCATGTTAACTGACTGCTTGTGTTACCAGTAACACTCCTGGTCGACAGTAGGCTGTTAGTGGTTAAGTGTTTGGGGAGCCAAAAGTTATAGGTGGACTTTTGACTCCGGGCGCCGGGAGGGAGAGGTCAGCACTTCTAACCCCGTGTTGTCTGAGGGTCAATTGTACATATGTTTAAATGTTGATAAAAAGAAGGCTGTGGATACGGAGAGGTTAAAAATATGAGACAGGATAGAAGATCGAGTGGAGCGCTCAGGAGGGTAGGAAAAGGGGACAAATGAACTCGGATGTCATAATTAGCCTCAGAAGGAGAAAGTACATATTTTCCATGTTGACAGGAGGAAAAGTAGAAAGGGTAGGTGTGTGTGAATGGAGTTACGTTTCTTTTTTTTTCTTTTTTTTTTAATGTTTATTTATTTTTGAGAGAGAAAGAGAGACAGAGCCTGAGCAGGGGAGGGGCAAACAGAGAGAGAGAGAGAGACACAGAGCTCGTAGCTCTAGGCTCCGCGCTGTCAGCACAGAGCCCAACACGGGGCTGGAACTCACGAACCATGAGATCATGACCTGAGCCAAAGTCAGACGCTTAACTGACTGAACCACTCAGGCACCCCATGAATGGAGTTACATTTTTATAATGGGGATTTTAGAGTTTTTTTTTTTTTCCTTTAATGGTTTCTTTTTTCTGCAAAATCAGTATGTGTATGGGAAGGGAGCCAGGCTTGATGCTTTTGAAGATTTGAGGATCATGGGAAAGTGAAATATTCACAGTACACACAAGTGAGGGTAGTGCACCATTGCCTGGTGCATTGGAATCACCTGGAGGGTTTGTCCAAGTGCAGGTTCCAGGGCACCATTGAGTCTTACAGATCAGGGTGGGGTCCAGGACTCTGCAATTTTAGTAATTTTAGTTTTAGACAAGTACCCCCAGGTGATTCTGATATAGGAGCTCTTCAGATCACACTTTCAGCACTACTGATAGTTATTTTAGTACAGGGGGATTTTTTATAAAAATGGGAGAAAATTGCCAGTAGAGAGGAAGCAAGACAAAAAGGAATCATTGATAGGACAAAGCCCTTAAGGAGGTGGGAGAAGGTATGATAAAGAAAGGAGGAAGGATCCACCTTGGACAGGAGAAGTCCCACCTCTCCAATTAAGATCAGCCATCCACAGGAGGGTTATGTCTTTCATTAAGGGTCACCTCTTCAGCAAGATAGGGAAGAAGGAGGTAAAGACACACATTGAGGCAGGTAAGGCTGATAGTTTCACCTCCAACAAATTATTTCCCCCAGTGATGGGTTTTCTCTTTTCCCCAAAAAGTTTGGAAAAGAGAAAACCCATCAATAGTAATAAGAATAAAAATAATAATGTTACTTATGTATTATCATATTAATTATAAAGATATAACATAAGTACATAATTCTAATTGGATTGCTGGGTAGTTTGAATTAGAGCCCCTGCCCGTGTAACATCTGGACCTATAATATGAGCCCCAGATAGATACTGCTAAACTTATGCTGGGGAAGGGGTTAGTAATTTGTGTGCTATATCGCGTGTGTGGTATCCCTCCAACATGTGAGATTAAAACGTTGGTTTTCCTTCAGAACTTCTCACCAGGAAGTCTCTCTCTTCCTGTTATCACCTCAGTGATTGATGGCTTCCTCGATTATTTTCTTGAATATCATTTAGCACTTGTTGGGTCACAAGTGGCAGAAAACTTGATTCAAGCTGGGTTAACAGGAGGAAAGAAAAGAGAGGAGTTGATTAGCCCACGTTAATGGAAAACTTCAGAACTGCCTCAGGCTTAGCTGGCTAGAAGCACTGATAACATTGGTTTCTAATGAAAAGAAATGGGCAGAAGCCCTGAATGGATGTTTTTCCAAAGAGGACATACAGATGGTTTCTGGCTTCTTTTGCGGCCTCCAGCTTCCTTTCTCTCTCTCTGTTGCTTTTAGCCTCAAACTGTGTAACTTCAAACTGTCTGGCGACTGCTAGGCTGCCCCTGGTTTGCACCGTGGCCGTCGCTCTTCCCCATTCAGCTTAGCTGGAAACAATGAGCTTTTTTTCCCTTCATGCAAACAGAGATCCTGGGCCTCAGAATCACTTGCCAGATTCGGGACACATGCTTAATTTCTGAACAAATCATTTCTGACCATCCCTGGAGTTGATGGGGAAGTAAGTGAAACCCACCCAAAGCAAACGAGCAGAGGGGTGAAAGCAGCTCTTCAAAGGAGACTCAGAGAACTGTTCTCAGCAGCAAAGGGACAATGGATGGTGAGGGGACACAGCAGATGTCTTCCACACCTTTCTCCCGTCTTTCGTCCTGTTATTAATCAACCCCCTGTGCGCCTTGTCGGGCTCACGGCGAAGTTGCTCACCTTTCAGCAGAGGGACGTGGGCTTAATCCTCTCCTGCAGCTCTTAGAACTCCAATTAGGTATGTCTACCTCTGCCTCTGTACCTCCGTCATTTCCTTGTGTAAACACTTGTATTGGCTCCCCTTTGCCCACAGGATGATTCTTGGTATCAGTGTTCAGTGGCCCACCAGTCTGGTATTCCGTGCTGCTTTATACCCGGAATACTGGTATTTCTATTGGTGTCATACTGTTAATTTAGGAGTTTAAAAAAAAATCTCAATTATTTATGTCTTGACATACCACAGACATGCTTCATTAAGACTTGGACTATATAGATGGGGCACCTGGGTGGCTCAGTCGGTTGAGCGTCCGACTTTGGCTCAGGTCATGATCTCATAGTTTGTGGGTTCGAGCCCCGCATCAGGCTCGGTGCTGACCGCTTGCTCAGAGCCTGGAGCCTGCTTCAGATTCTGTGTCTCCATCTCTCTCTGCCCCTCCCCTGCTCACGCTTTGTCTCATTCTGTTTCTCAAAAACAAATAAATGTAAAAAAAAATATTTTTAAAGACTTTGACTATAGGTGAGCTTGTTGAGAAAGCTGTCTTCTATACTTCCATAAACTTCAAGCAAAAGAAGAAAATAGCAACCACCAAAGGAAAGCTTCTAATGCAGAAATGATTCTTATCTATTACAAAGACTTTCCAGCAAATGGAATATGAACAGACACTATTGGCATTAATATGGTATCTGCATTAACATCTCTACTTAGGTAAGATAAAATAGGAAGATGAAAACAAATGAGAAATACTTTTTTGGAAGATACACACACACACGCATATATACACATATATATATATATATATATA